TGGTATATCAATGACTACACATTATAGAAAAGGGCTGAAGAAAGAGGCTCCATTTTCTCCGATTTTGTGATAGGGACCTTTAATGAAAGCTTTGGACATGGAGTTAGGTTAGTTAGCACAGGGACAACATGAAAGGTTTCCCCCAGAGAAAAAAAGCCTGTGCCAGAACCCTGTAAGGGCAGAAGTGCACCAGAGGATGTTTCTGTCAACATAACCCAGGCATTTGTGTTAAGGACCAGACGGTCACCTTAGCTGGATGAGTGACAAGAGAGAAAATGATTTAGAAAAATAAATAAATAAAAATAAAATCTCATGAGAAAAACCTGGTTTCTTATCTAACTGCCTGCTGCAGATGGCCAGGGGTTCTTACACTATGAAATTGGCAAGTCTGAAAAGGGAGGCTGAGCACACTCACATCACAATCCCCACGCACTGTGTGACTGAGCACACTCACGTCACAATCCCCACGCACTGTATGACTGAGCACACTCATGTCACAATCCCCATGCACTGTGTGACTGCCTTCCTAGCTTGGGCTCCACACTGAGGCTTTGGATGCCATAGATACAAATATTCTTTTTTCCTGTTATTGAGATCAGAGGGCATTAGTGGTTCACGCCTTTAATCCCAGCACTGGGGAGGCAGAGGCAGGTGGATCTCTGAGTTTGAGACCAGCCTGGTCTACAGAGAAAGTTCCAGGACAGTCTCCAAAACAATACAGAGAAACCCTGTCTCAAAATAAAAAAGAAAATAGATCTGTGTTCTCAAATAACATATCCTGATTGTGGTTTCACCCCCCCCTCCACTCCCATTCTACCTCCCCTCCCCACTCCTCCCCTCCCATTCTGATCCACCCCCTTTCTGTCTCTCATTAGAAAACAAACAGGCTTCTAAGGGATTATGATATAATATAATATGATAATATGATACGATAATACAAAAGCTGACACATTGGAATAGGACAAAACAATCAAACAGAAGAAGAGAGCCCAAGAATGGCACGAGAAACAGACACAGACAGAAAGGCCCACTTGTTCATACACTCAGGTATCCCAGAAAAACACTAAACTGGAAATCATAATACAGACCCACAGGACCTTGAGGGATGTGTGTGTGTATGTGTGTGTGTGTGTGTACACATATATATTTAATAAGATAAAAATTAAATTTAAAAACAAGCAAAGCCCTAATATGGTATTATGAGACAAGGACCCTCCAATGATGATACTGAGTTTGTTTCCTGTTGTCCATCTAGTGCTGAGCATGCAACCTACCCTTATCAGTAGTCTGTTTCCCCAGTGAGACTCCCTTGGAGAAAACTGCATTTTCATTCACAAGTAGCTACCGATTGGAGATCGCTTCTGGTTAGGGATGGGGACATGTGTCCACTTCTCCTCTCAGCTCTAGGACCCCATCTGGCAGCCGTGGTCTCTGTGAGCTCTTTAGGACACCGATCCTGTTGATTTAGAAGACCTTGTTTCCTTGCTCTCCTCTGTCCCCTATGGGTCTTACATTCTTTCCATTCCTCTTCCGCAGGATTCCCTGAGCCCTGAGGGGAAGTGTTTGATGGAGATGTCCCTTTTTAGGCCTGATTGTTCCAAGATCTCTCACTCCCTACATATTGTCTGGCTGTGAGTCTCTGTATTTATTCCTATCTGCATCAAGAAGCTTCTCTGATGATGAGCCAAGCTTCCTAAAGCTGTGGCCCTTCGATACAGTTCCCCATGTTGTGGTGACCATAACCATAAAATGATTTTCGTTGCTACTTCACAACTGTAATTTTGCTACTGTTATGGATTGTAATGTAAATATCTGTGTTTCCCCATGGCTTTAAGGGTCATTCTATTCCCAAGGGTATTGTGAGAGAACTGCTGGAATGCAGGCATTGTATACAGTAGGTAAGCATTCTATCACTGAATTGTGCCCCTGTCCTTCAGTGTCCTGATCTGTATCCCACTGTCAAAGCAGCCATAGGTGATACAGGCAACAAACTGTAATTATTAGTGAGAGGCCATTCCTATTTGGAATAACATATTCCAATAATAATGTATCAAACAATTAAAAATTATGCTAATATGAATGATCATTGAGCATGGTGGCACACAGCTTTAATGCCAGCTGAGAGGTAGAGGTTCATGAACCTCTATATGTTCTACACTAGCCTAGTCAACATAGTGGGTTCCAGGCCAGCCAGGGTTATGTAGATGCTAATTGCTTTCAATTCTACTGCATGATAATAGTTATCTAACAAAAGGAAATATAAGCAGCAGAAGCAGCAGAAGCAGCAGCAGCAGCAGCAGCAGCAGCAGCAGAAGAAGAAGAAGAAGAAGAAGAAGAAGAAGAAGAAGAAGAAGAAGAAGAAGAAGAGGAGGAGGAGGAGGAGGAGGAGGAGGAGGAGAAGGAGGAGGAGAAGGAAGAGGAGGAGGAAGAGGAGGAGGAGGAGAAGGAGGAGGAAGAGGAGGAAGAAGAAGAGGAGGAGGAGGAAGAGGAAGAGGAGGAAGAAGAAGATGAGAGGAAGGAGGAGGAGGAGGGAGAGGGGGAGGAGGAAGAGAGGGAGAGAGAGAAGGAGAAGGAGAAGAAGAAGAAGAGAAGGAGAGAGAGAGAAGTGGGAGGAAGGGGAAGAAGAGAAGAAGAAAATAGATGCTTCCTGAAGCATGTCAGTGAGTTATACACAGCCCAGAAATAGGAAGACATGTACTTGCCATCCAAAACCGATGCAGGCAGCATCCTAATGACTAGCAGAGTATTTGTTTACAGCATTAGTACACAACCAAACACAGAAAGGGAGTTTCTTATGGAAGTTTGAGAAATCAAGCCTGGACCATATTAGCTAAATTTTAATTAATCCTTCAATTTGAAATATAAATGAAAAGAGATTTGTTTTCAGGTAACCCCTGAGGGACTTTCATATCTTCAGTTTGTCACAATAGTCATCTACATAATTCTCTTCCCAGCCATTTGTTTCCGAAGAAGGATTTTCTGATTTGTCACACATGTCCTCATTTGTTGGTGCAGTGCCCTGGCAGAACTGGAGATTCTAAACTTGCCCAGGAAAGGGTTTCATAATTCATCATGCATACCACTCTGCTTGGCACCAAGAGGTATGGCCCCATCCAAGTGCATGCTCTTGGGCATTCACGGTTGACTAAAGGGACCAGATTTCTGATGAACTAATGTAGGACAAAGGGGCCTGTGGCTGGAGTGCAGAAAAGAGGAAGAGAGAGACTGGGAGAGAGGGTACCAGGAAGTTTGTGAAGGATGTTCCCCTTGATGAGTTCCCAGGAGAAAAACATGTAGCTATATTAGCTGAAGAAACCTGTTCCCTGCATTGAGAGAAGGTTCTGCCAGAAGAGGCTTGTGAGGGACAGGGGAGGAAGACAGGAAAAAGGGAAAAGGAGAGCCTGGTGAGAGAGCAAATGTGCCAGGACAGATCATTTTGGAAAGTGTAGTGCCAGCCAGCTAGCACAGGAAGTTCACGTTGAGGGCCATGCTTGAAGTAGGGCATCCACAGGGCTGGGTGTTGGCAAGGTTGAGGGAGACAGAGATGAAACACAGTGGACAGGGAATGATGCATGGATCCAGGCTATGCCAATGCTCTCTGAAAGGGCCAATTTGTCTAAGGAGACAAAGCATTCTGAAAAGTTTACTGTTTCCACCGTGGTCATAATGATTTCAGCAGTAAGCCCTCTGAATTTAAAATTGAGATTTACTCAGCTGAAGTGTTTCACCTTAGAAAGATAGAACACAATCATGAGAAAGGAATATGCCCGGCTATTGTTAAGTCTAAGTATTCAGTCAGCCTTCTTCTCCTGCTGAATATTCAAATTGGGGAGCTGCACGGGACAAAGAGAAAATAAATGCATTTCTGATTAGAAAATGCAAATGAGTGCCTGCATTCTGCCTACATCTCTCCAACACATCCTTTCGTCCTGTGCTCTCATAACCATCTAACTGGAAACTTACGGATTGTTTGCATGTCTCTTCAATTTTTCTTATTAAAAAAATTTTCCCTGACAGTGAAAGAAATGCAAATGAAAGCTACAAAATAACAATAGGTCTATCAAATTGGCAAAGTTCCCAACAGCAACAATGTTCCAAGTTGATAAAGTAGCAACAAAATAGAAACCCATTCGTTTCAGTGGTCTTATAAAGGAACATCAAAGTTTAGAAGGAAAACATGAAAATTATAGACTCCAAGTATTTTAATTTCGTAGATCTATGCACCATAGATAGCCATACAAATGATCAAACATATACGAATAAGAAAGATCGAATATGTTACAGGAGCAAAGAATGAGACATGATTAAAATGACCACCACTAGACAATTGATTTGTTAAATTATGGCCCATCTTTTCAACAAAAACAGCCAATGGTCCTTCAAGAACTGATCTACACTTACAAGCTTTGGTGTACATCACAGATTCCCTGAGTAGATTAGATAGTCATAGGCTCGAATGATAATGTGTTTATTATAACATGCTTTAATCAACGATAGGGTCCAGTAATATTTTACAATGATCATCTACATAAGGACAGTATTGAAAAGGAAGCATAGTAAATTGTAAGCTATAGCATCTCCTAGATAGTGACAAAATCGAAAGAGTTTTGCTTTTTGTTCTTATTTCAGGTTTTTTTTCTTTTACTCTACCTACCCAGGCTCTTCCATAATGACAAAGTATTTACTCAGATGTTTTCATTCACTTCTTCTCTAGAAATCTAGGGTTTGCGATTTCTCTCAGGTGACTATTGTCAAGTCTGAAAGCGTTCTGTTCTATACCGATGCTGTCATTCCATTATCAGTTGTCACCCCAGGTTCCTAAAAGTCCCTGGACCGTGTAGACCCTCTCCATGTGGCTCTCACCTCTCTGTTACTTTCTTCCTCTAAAGCAACTGCAGATATCCACACTCAAGCTCCCAGGAACTCACACAAGAAGCAGAGAAAAGGAAACCACACTCGACATTTTGAAACTCTGACTGTGGCAAAACTGCAAATCTTACCTCAGATAACAAATTTGGATAGTGTCCTATGGCCAAAGGCAAATCACCACATCTTACGAAGGTAGAGCTAAAAGATGAACATGGAGCTGGGTTCTTCTCAACCCTCCCCAGGGAACGGGATGTCTGAAGAATTGTGCCTATGCAGAGATGCCCAAGCTGTGTTCAGCCAGTCTGAAACCAAGTCTTTTTATGAGCCACTACCATGCCTGATTATTTTTCTAAGTCTTTATTAGGAAGATGAGAACACTGAGTTCCAGAGAGGATCTAAGATTTGCCAAAGGTCATTCATTGGAGTACAGGTTAGTATATGTGTTATTGAGAAGATTTTTAGTTGCTTGTTGAGCCTGCACGGCAAGGAATAACTCAGAGCCAACTGTGCATAAACTTAATTTAATTTGCTATTAGGGGAAACTTCGTTCTAAGCATCTGAAAACAGAAGGCGTTTTTCTGTTGCAAGGCTTATCTTTCCTGAGACGTAGCATTACTGATGACAATGTCATGTTGCTCCAGGATGTTTCTCCAGGATAAGGATGATGGGTCTCCTGCTGCCTCAACTGTTGGAAGACAGTCCCTAAGAACATTGTGTCTGGTACACCTTGATGGCCCTCCTTGCTTGCATCATAATTCATCAGTTCAGCAAACAGGAGTAAGACAAGTCAGCAGAGGAGTCAAATGTGTTAGTAAATGACTGCAGCAATGCATATTATATCTGCCTAGAGCTCAGTTTGAAGGAAAACACCTGGATCATCACTAAAATGACTCCCCTTATTTTTAAATCCAGGAAATCGCCTAAAAATGCATCGGATTCCCACAGGAATGTCTAAGCTATAGTTACCCTTTCTGGAATTAAGCACAATGACCAAAGCAACTTGGAGAGGAAAGGGTTTATTTGGCTTACACGTCCACGTTGCTGTTCATCATCAAAGGAAGGCAGGACAGGAATAAGGCAGGATCTTGGAGGTAGGAACTGATGCAGAGGCTGTGGTGTATGCTGCTTACTGGCTTACTTCCCATGGCTTGATAAACCTGCTTGATGAGAGAACCAAGGACGACCAGTCCAGACATGGCACCACCCACCATGGGTTGGAATCTCCACATCGATCACTCATTAAGAAAACGCCCTACAGTTAATTCACAAATCTTCAGTTTTGAAATGATCTGTAAATAAATAATTTCCAAGGAATCCTGATTATGTAAGTTTTTAAATTTTTTAAACTTTCCTAAAATGTATTGTTATGTGACTGCATATATGGTGTGCATGTGTGAATACAGGCAGGCACAAACCTTGGTGCATGCATAGAGGTCAGAGGACACCTTTTGGGAGTTGGTTCTCTCTTTCCACTGTGGGCTCTAGGGAATCTAGGTGATGAGGCATGTGTGCTCAAGCTTGGACAGAGAGCAAAAACTCTGGAAACCCAATAGTGGAATCCTGACTTTAGGTCCACAGAACTCTGGAGCTATTCCTGGTCTTTGCCTTGATCTTAGTCAGTCATTGCCAACACAGGACAGACTTGTGATCTGTTACCACTTTTGTTCTTTGCTTGTTTTTGTTCTCCAGAGGAAATATCAACACTATTGAACTTTTAAAAACTCCACAAACCGTGGAAATGAAGTTGGATTCTGACTTCAGCAGTAAGTCCACATAGTTTGCCTCCTTTGAATGGGGAAAACTCTGTCCATGCCTTGGAGAATTTATTATTATGTTGTTGTCTGTTTTGCTTTACTTTTCATTTGTTGTTTTATTTATCTTCATTTATTTTACTTTATTGTTTTTCCACATGAGGAAGTAGTTCATTTGAAGATAAACTTGTATTGTCATATTTGGAAAAGCCTCATTAAATCTTTCAAAATTGCAAATTCTGTCTTTTGTTTGTCCTTTCAATGCTGTGACAAATCCCGTGGGTCTTTGTCTGAACTTGACAATGTGACATTTGTTTATTCATCCAAACATATTTTCAGGAACCACCTAAACAAGTGTGGTTCTGAATCCCTTAATGGTAGCTAGCGTTTAAAACCATCACTTTCTTTCATTTGCATAGTCATTGCACAGGACAGTTTATGACAGATGAAAACAGAAGGACTTCCATACACTGCATTTCCCACAGGGCTTGCTTTCTTGTGAGCACATGACAGGTGATTTCCTCCTCGGGACTCCTTCAGTTGGGCTCCAGCTTCTTGAAAGATAAGAGGCTACCCTGGCAGCTGCTGATTTTGCTTAGCCACAGATGTCCTCTGTTCTGTTTGTCTCCCACACTGACTCCCTGAAGACAGTATTTAGTAGGAAGTGATTATAGGTGGGTCTATGTGGCTGAAGACTCAAAAGTCTCATAATCCCGTCACGTGTAAAAAGTTCTGTGAGCCACAGAACACACCGGTGTCTCCCTTTCCCAAGCCCCTTAGGACTTTGACAGAGTGTGTCCTAACATCCCAGAGCTATTTGTTGGTCTGTGAAGAACTCTCAGATACACTGAAGTGTGTCTGCTAAGTTCATATGTTGAATTCTTAATCATCAATGTCTCAAAGGTAACGTATTTGAGACTGAGGATTAAAAAAAAGGTTAAACATATAAAAGGGAATTCAGTTTTTCCTTTAAACCAGGTGACAGGGGCTACTCGATAATATGGACAGAAATCTTTGTGAAGTAATATTTTAATCATTTAAATGCATAAATAAGGACTAGAGCAGTATCTCAAAGGTAAAGTGCTTCTCTCTAGGGAGGGAAAATAGGTTTAATCCTCAATACCAAAGGGAAAAAACAAAAACAAAAAACAACTATCCAGGCTTTGCCTCTAAAAACAGCCCTTGGGCTCTATTCTGTTATTCAGTATAAATAAAGATTCCAGTTTAATTCCTCAAGCAAATGCATACACGTTTGCATCTTCATTGGGAAATGAACTAATCAGTCTCTGGCATATGCCCTTACCTACATATGAACATTGCCTTGTAAAGTTGACTGCTTGGAGAACAAATTATAATTTCTCCATGTCTTGCACTTGAGATCATCTAAAAATATGTTTTCCCTGGAGTGTGATATTTAGGGATTCACATCATTATGCTATGTGGATGTACACGCTTAAAAATAGTAGGTCAGAAGATTTATTGTTTTGCCATAGGCATTAGGTGCCATTCGCCATGCACGCTTAGTCATTGAGAACTCACAAGTGAACATTAAAAACGCAGTTTGTGCTACCCTGTGAGTTTTTTCTCTCACATCACAATCCTCTAGTGATTATGAGACCTTAAGTAGGTCATCATAATGGCAGAGATGATCATTTCCTTGGCAGTGCAGGCTGGGAAGACAGCTCTGCACAATTGGCAAGTTTTCTGCCAGCTCACCTGAGAGTAGCCATGTATTGGGCTTTTTCTTGAAAAAGTGCAATGATAGTCAGAATCAAGTCTCCAAGTTTTCTTGAAATATTGTCAGCATGTTTTAAATGTTCCTGAAGTTAACACCCAAGGTTGTCTTCTAGCCTCCATATGTACACACAGAAATGTGTGTGTCACACACACATCAATACACACCTTTTAAAAATGAATAACTATAAGTTAGGCAAATACCCAAAAGGTGACTTCCAATGACTGGGTACAGAAAGTAAAATTTTTTGAAATAAAAATAAACAAAAGGGCATCAGAAAAAAAATCACATAGAAAAGAAAATGGAAGAGCAATCTGAGGTCAATAACTAAGAGTCATTCATAATTGGATCTCCCTGCTCATAGTATCAAAGAGATTTTTATTAGATACTGCCATATACTTGCAAATACAAAAGTTTCAGAGCAATCGTATTTTGTGGATTCTATCACATTAAGTTACGCAAATTATTTGTAGGTCTATAAGACAAGTCTATATAAGGATTAGATGTTATGAGTTTCAACCTATGAACATTTCACATTTTTTCTCACTTCCTATAAATTCATAAGTTGAACAGAATACAAGTTACATTTTGGAATGTATTATTTTGATAGTGTTTCTTCATTGAATGGAAAATTGCTCATTTTTTTGAAAAAATGCAGCAAAAGTCAGGTTTCTGCTGAAGTAACTGAGATCTCAGGTGCTCTAGGCTACAAGCTGAAGCTTGGAAAATATTCAACCTGCTGAATTTTATCCACTCTCTCAGACAAGGTGGTTGTGGGTAATTTGGGCTGCTGGCTATAAAACATGGACACGTCTGCCAGCATTATTAGTAAACACTTGATGGAATTAGATAACTGGGATTTTAATTTCTCTCGAAAAAGACAAAAAGGAAATTTCTTAAGAACAATAAAGTCAAATACAACTAAGGGCTGGAGGGAAGGCTCAGTGGTTAAGAACACTGGCTACTCATCTAGAAGACCCAGGTTCAATTCCCAGCACCTATACAGAAGCTCACAACCATCTGTAAATTCAATGTTTGGGGATGTGAAGTTCTTTTCTGGCCTTTGAGGGTATTATGTACATTTGATGTATATTTATCCATGCCGGGAAAACATCCATGTACACACACACACACATACCACACACACACACACACACACACACACACACACACGCACATACCACACACACACACAAAATAAACTAAGACTTATAGACTGTTGTGATACATTAGATATTATAACAAGTAGTTTAAGGGATGTGCATGCTTACATATTTCCAACTGGCTTATGATGTGAGTAAAACTATTGCTCTGTTTTAAAGATGAAAATATCAAGACTTGAAGAAGTCAAGATCAAGCACTGGGACCAGAAGGGAATGGGAGTTTCACAGACTAACTGACACTTTATTCCAGCATTGCGGATTAGATTTGATGTGCTGAGGATTACATTTCAGAAGTGAACAGGTCACAGAGGGAGGTCCAGCTGTCTCTGGCCAGTGCCATGCTTGGATTTATATCGGCAGAAGGTGAAAGCCTCTGGCCAATGGAGACAAAGGCAGAGATGTCTATGTGTTCATCCCATTTTTATACAAACAGCATCCAGATGCCACGTATACTTCAGCTACTATAAATTATTGTAAGCCCCGAAGTAGGGATTTCTGGTTCATCACTAAGGAAGGAAGCAGTGAGAAGAGGTCAACTGCAGGGTGTTTCCAACCTGGTAATTAATTCTCTG